GTGCCTTTAACTTACCTCGTAGTGTTCGACAACGTACTCTAGCAGTGTATGGCATGTGCTTTTTCTGTTCGATACACTCATTATTTGCTACTATAAAAGTGCTCGTCTGTAGTCGATCAATCTCTTTTGTGTTGAGTTGGACATCCATTCAAAATCACAATGGCTTTTTAATGGGCATTTACCTTGCGCTGCGTGTTGTAGGGGCCAGCCGATGTAAGCGAGGCTTTCCTGTCCACAAGGGGGGGGGGGGGCCGTAACATCTACTGACTTAGAAAAGTGTGAAGAACATGGTGGCTTGATCCAGTCCGGGACTTTGATTTCCTTGAAGCTCTATTTGGTGTAATTACAGGGTGCGCCAAAATTACGGCGACAGCGGATGCGCATACAATTTGAGCCACTATTCAAAGATGCTGTTTACTGCTGCGCTCATTTTGGTTTTGTTGTGTTGACCTGTTCATAATTATCTTATTTGACCACCAATATGTATGATTGCTACAGCGTTTTCGTTTTTTATCTGATGATACCAATCAGGATCACTAACGCTCCAAGAATAAAGAACGAATGTACTCATTCTTGGAGGGAATGGCCGTGTTTCAGCGGACACGAGCCATGCAGCAATTGGGTGTTGCCCAACGAGAATTCCCAAGCAAATTGCCATCTTAAGATTTGAAAAAACATTGTTTGATCTTTCATAAGGAAGGGATTTCCATAGGGCAAGGGTGGTGCTGAACTGGGTCAGAGCAAATTTTGTCGAATTCATCACTTTTAACGAGTTGGTCAGCATTTCAGATTCTATATAAATGGCTTACACTTGAATTTGATCCTGTATGCTAAAGCTTGCATGAAAATTTTTGGGGATTATTCTGAAGAATTGCTTCAGAATACGTAGGACGGGTTCCACGCACCATCTTGCGTGCCACCGTCGATGGTTCCTCACTGCTTCTCAAGGCCCGTATAAGTGCCAACGAAGGAATTTCTGAGATTTGGCAGATGTTTACGATTCATTATTGAACAGTGAACGTTACTGCATTTTTGGCTTCTTGGAATTGTGGCATGTTCATTCTAGGCGACTCGAAATAGCTGTCGTAATAATTTTGACGCACCCTTTACATATTATGTGTGATTACTGTTTATTATGCATCCACGAAAATTATATGAGCTTCAAAATGAACTCTCATTTTGTCTAACTTTACGGGAAAGTTTTATGAGCAGCTTTCAACCGGGAGGTATGCATTGGTTTGATCGGGCTAGAAGCGATCTTTTCTACTTTCTCGAATCGCGCAACCTGCAGTTATCAACTGCGCACCATGGGTCGGCATGCAATTGCGACAAGTTGTTTACATGTAGGGCGGAAGTGGTGTAGTGGCAAGTGGCACGCTTACCACGCGAGCGGTCCGGGGATCAAATCCTGGGTCGTGAGTCGCCCGGGCCAACCAAGCTTTCCATCCCTCCGGGGTCGGTTAATTGGTACCAGACTTGTCTGGGAGGATAAAAAACACTGACTTGAACATCGGCTGGCCCCCGCAAGTCATTGTATAGGCCACATCGCATTCAAATGCCACTGCGAATGTACAAATGGTGCCGCATCCAAAAGGGATTGATCAACGGCAAATGCTTTATCCTTTACCTTTCATGATACATTGAGGCGGCCAGAATTCCCTCAGGCTACCATTTTAAAGCAAATTTTGAAGGTATTTCTGAGCAGTCGGAAAAGCGCGTTTCAGATGAGGCTAGCCATAGATCAATAGCTTGACTTGCATCAAAAACAACATAAGAAGAGCCAGTTTAGCTCCGCACACTACCGCGTGCATGAAACGGAAAAGCTCCGTAAAGCATAGAGCCAAACCGGCGCGAGGGTTTTAGGTTCCGCCGTGACCAACAACTTGATTCGTGAAATGCGTTAGCTGGCCTTCCATAGAACGCCCATTCTTAAGCCAATCGTCTAATACGCGCGGTGGATTGCGGAGCTAAAGTGTTGCTTGTAAACAACCACCATTTATTGGATATCAGGATGATTTAGCGGTGGAATAATATTGATGCCAATGATTTTGCAATGGAAATAACCATTATCGTATATCGCTAAACGTCCATCATACATTCTTAGGGACTTTGGGATTGTAGCGGTCGAACGTATTTTATGTTGATGACAACTACGCAATAGAGCAATGATAGGCCCTTATCGGCCCTATCACTTCCTGTACCCCAACAAACATGTTCCGATCCCACCCTGTACATCACTTCTTGGAACCAATGCCCCACTGGGACGTGCGCTATGAATTCGTGAAATTTGCGTTTCAGCGCCTCTTATCAATCTTATCAGTCGGTATCACTTTCCAAACCCCACCAAATATGTTGCCGTCCCACCCCCTACACCATACTCAAAACACAGCGCTCCATGCCTGCGGAGAAGCGCGCTATGAATTTCGTGAAATATACGTTTCAGCGCCTCTTATCAACCCTTATCGCCCCTTATCACACTCATATTTAGGGGTTCGATGAGGCAGAGATAGTCGAGTGGTTAAGAGGTTAGACTCACATCTGCATTACTGAAATGAAACCGCCGAGTTCGACCCTGCGCGACGGTTGGACCATTACTGCAAAATTGCCAACAAAAGTCGTTAGTACAGCGCCACGCCGGAGGTTGGCCAGGCCAGCTGATGAAGACCCAGTCACACAAATCATGTTCAAAGTCGCAAAAAAATCATTGTTAATGCTCGGACGTCACATAGGACGTCACCCGGAAGTGGCGCGCAGAACCCCCGCCCGAGTTCTGTGGTCAGTATGCGAGGGCTACCGAGGAGTGAACGGCCTCGGCCAAAGAAGCTAGTTCGAATTGGGACTCTGAACGTAGGATCGCTAACTGGGAAGTCCCGAGAGGTTGCTGATCTGATGACGCGCAGGAATAACCAAGTCCTTTGCTGAAACGGTGTGCGTCTTTACGCTTTTTAGCGGAGTCGCTCAAGACATGTCTCCGCAGTGACCAGGAGCAGGCTCTCCTAGCAGGTGATCTGAATGGTCACGTAGGCAGCGACAGAAGAGGCCTGGAAAGGGTGCACGGAGGTAGAGGAATAGGAGTGAGGAACGCCGAGGGAGAGAGGGTCCTGGACCTGGCTACGGCCCACGATCTGGCAATCTGCAGCACGTTCTTCGCGAAAAGCATCACCTACAGCCAGAGAGAGGGGGACGACATACGGAAATCGACCATGTGCTCGTAAGAAGATCATCCCTGAGATCGGTGAAAGACATCAAGGTACTCCCTGGCGAGAAACTGGCTCCCTAGCACAGGCCACTCCTGTCAGACATAGCCATGGAGCTGCCCAAGAAGGCAAGGGTAAGAACTGACACTGAGAGGACAATCTGCCGTCATGTAAAAGTTAGTCGCCGGTAGCAGAAGAAGGGGCACTTTTCAGGCGAAGATAATGGAAGAATGGAGAAGCAGGGATTGGAACATGTGCCAGAACACCTGATCTCTCTGGTGAAGGACATGTACGATGGGGCGAAGGCAGCTATACGCACCCCATACGGCCTAACGAAGGAGGTGGACATCACGGTCGGGGTGCACCAAGGGTCAGCTCTGAGCCCGTTCCTCTTCCTCCTAACACTAGATGTCCTGGTGAAGGGGCTCATGGAGGGACCACTGAAGACTATCCTCTATGCTGACGACGTCGCCTTGATAGCGGATAGCAGAGAGGAACTTCAAGCCAAGGTGAGAAATGGCAGAAAGTCCTGGCAGAAGGTGGGCTTTGGCTGAATGTCAAAGAGGCCAAGTCCCTGAGCTCTGAGAGGGTACAGACCGATCGTAGGACGGCCATGGTGAGACCATCGAAAAGGAGGACTTCCGATACCTTGGGAGCGATCTGGCAGCCGACGGTAGTGTGGATCAGGCGGTGAAGGCTCGGGTCAACGCTGCATGGATGAAATGGAGGGAGTCCACTGGAATCCTCTGCGATCGAAGGTGCTCCAGAGCGCTCAAAGGGAAGGTGTACCGGACAGTGGTAAGGCCTGCGATGCTCTACGGCAGCGAGTGCTGGGCCTTGAACAAGAATCAGAAAGGCAGCTTCACTCTGCCGAAATGGGCCTGCGGCCGGATGCGGCTGGACAAGGTTAGAAACGAGGACGTCAGAGCGGTCATGCAGACTGCCCCTGTCCAGCTAAAGGTACGAGAGCAGCGTCTGCGATGGTATGGGCATGTGCTAAGGAGGCCACAGGACCATCCGATTAAGAACAGCGATGACTTCGAAGTACAAGGCAAGCGACCGCGAGGAGCCCCGAAGAAAAGGTGGAAAGACGTAATCAAGAAGGACCTAGGTGAGGTCGCGGCCACGATGGAAGATGCCCTGGACAGAGCAAAGTGGCGACGGCTGACAAAAACAGCGGACCCTGCGACTGCGCGGGACTAACGCTAGGGAGAAGAAGAAGAAGAAGAAGAAGAACAACAAGAAGAAGTTTAAGGCAAGTGGCAAGGGCGCATGACAGTCTGAGAGAGAGTGAACGAGACACGATCCACAAACACGGTCTGTGGATCGTGTCTCGTTTGAGCTCATAGCGTCTGTTATTTTTTTTTCAAGCCCACTGTTCAATTTTACATTTTGTCAGGAACAATGGCAGTGCTCGACATTGCGTTGGGCGTCATTTCGAAGTGACAATCGATGTATAGGCTTTGGATTTCCTTTGTGGCGTTGAGCGCTGAAGTAACGCAGTTCACCGTTTCGAAGAGAGTTCTACTCAGGCAGACCTTAACTAATTTCTATCCCAGTCTTTATGTTCTGTGACGAAGAAATACAGAAGGCCAATAGGAAACTTTATTGAGGATAAAAACAACAGAAAAATGAACAGATTTATACAAGCTTAATAGGAACCAAAACGCTTCATGAAAGCCTTGTGCATCCCTGTGCGTGAGATATTCAACATATTAAAGTGAATCAAGTGAATTCTTATGCTGTTTTTGTAAAATGCAGACTGCTGTGTACATGTGCGGAGTGCTTTCGACAGACGAGCGACTAGAGCGCGAGCTTCAATAGAAGCATGAGACCGGCCGAGAGAAGTCCTGAAAAAATTAGGTATCAATCTATTTTTGAAAACCACTTGGTGTGTCAGTTTGTCACATTTTCTCTGGCTCGTCACAAAATTCCCTATCATATCTGAAGCTGTCAGCGGGATAAATCAGCCGCTAGTAAGCTGAAATGCGTCTTAATGGTAGACTAGCTTGTTACACCACCGACTCCGGGCTCCACAAAAACGAGGATGGACTAAATCGTATTCGCATACACTCTAAATGGCAGAAGAATGCGTGGAGCATCCCGAAAGGGGCTGATTACCGCTTCAATGCCTGATCCTGTATGTATCCTCCCTCCTTCTTCTGCTGCTTCATTACGGTTTTGCCGCTTGTCTAGATGGCAGGGTCGCTTTTCTATCGCCGAATTACCCTTTAAAGGCACAACCCAGGCAGAGGTTTTTTATAACTCTTCTCTTCGGTCAGAAGTATAGAACCCTAGGGGACAATCACAAATGTGGCGTTCACGTGCACGGAATTCGACCGACAAGAACGCTTTGGGCTTGCAAAGTAAGCTGCTCGAGCTGCAGCGAACGAGCTCTCTTATCAGGCCGTTGTCTGGTGCTCTCTCATCTGATGCGCTCTCTCGCCCCATACTCTCCTCTTCGCGCTTAGTCTCTCGTTCCTTTAGCACAGCCAATTAGGAAGGTGAGTGAGCCCTCAACCTGAGCGTTTTCGACGGATTCTTTTCCTTTTTTCTTCACTGCCGGCCCACTTGGCACCGATACATTCACATTCGTGTGCAAGAGCCACACCAGTGCGATCCTGGGGCATGCCTTTAAGTTTTGAATCAATGATGCCGTGACCGATTTTCAAGTCAGTGTGCTACGTATCGAGCCAGCGCTTATTCCGGGCGTCCCTTAGGCCGCTTTCCGGACACGTCAAGGCTGAAGCTGATCTTACGGACACTGTCATCTTTCGCGCGAAGAACATGATCATACCATCGAAGACGGGCTTCGCGCATTTTATCAACAATCGGAGCTACACCGAATCGCTCCCTGATGACATCATTACGAATGCGAACGTTGTTTGACTCCGGCTGTCCAGCGCAGCATCTTGGTCTCCATCGTACTGAGACCAGCTTCGACTTTTCTAGACGCAGGCCATTATTCGGAACCGTAAATCGCGACTGACACAAATGTCATGTCGCTATATGATTCTCGGGGATAATCTGCTTTGTCCTATATGTATTAAAAATTTTTTATCCCATACCCTCCTTATGCATTTGGGACAGCAGTTTGCTTGTCCAATTAAAAATGATGAGCTAGTATTTATGCTGCATCTTTCGAGGTTCTTTGAAAACAGCTTCTGGGAGCTACTGCTTTTGACCCTCTTCATTCTGTAGTATTTGAGCTGATCTGGGCAGGGTCTCTGAACATCCCATATGACCCGAGCTGCTTTTTCAGATCGCAAAATATTCCATGATTACCTGTAGACTGAGAGAATCAGCAATTTTTCAGTGGTCGAGAAAAGCTTTCAAAAACTAACCAACCTGCACAGGGAAGAGTAACCACCCATGAGATAACAATATTCCGGAATATCCTCCAGTCGATGCCTTTACGAGATTTGACGACTCCTACCGCAACGACGGATCCTACCTGAAAATGATTCAAAGATGAGATGATCCAGTTATTGCTTGTCGGTATTATTGCACAAAGACCAGCGAATCATTGAACAGAAACAATATGTCTTAGTATTGTGCTGTCCCGGAGCCTCATCAGGACCTAAATTTGTTTAAACACAGAGAAGCTCCAAAAGTTTTATTCCAAAAGAATTCCAAAAGTTCACAAAAGTCCAAATACTCCAAAAAACGAGCCAAAAATTTTGAAAAAGAATTCCTTTGGAAACTTTTTAATTTTTGGCTTTTTGTTTTTTCGGTTTTCCCAAAGGAATTTCTTTTTGAAATATTTTGGCTCAGTTTTTTTGGAGGTTTGGGCTATCTGTGACAACTTTTGCGAATAAACTTTTCGGGAGTTTCTCTGTTTTTAAAACAAAATTTGAACAATATGATAGTGCAAGGATGGGGATGGCACGAGGATGCGACAAATGTGCCGAATATCAACACCAGGGTCATTTGCGTGAAAAGTCTGAGCTAAGGGTCCATTAACTCTGGGTAGGGAGCAGGATCACCCAATGGGAGAACTTTCAATATTTGGCGCTCCCCCCTTCACTAGGGGGCGCTCCTACACGATTTTACCATTGCTGCCATGAAGTCTTGAGTCGGCTTTCTGAGTATTTACCATCTCTTACAACGACACTACCGAAAATTCCAAACTTGCACTGGTTGCATTTCGAGTGACTGGTGGAGGGAGAGCGTACATTTCATTGACTGTGACACCATTGAATTTTCAAAAACTTCTCCCAGATTCGTCAAAACCCTCAAGCTTACAATAATCTGCTTTTCCCGTGCCCTTACCATATTTCAAGAAATGCAACCCATTTCTCTACGTACGGCTTACCTTCCTAGAACTCCAAAATACAACCAACTCATTGGAGAATGCTTAGTAAACACCTTGTTTGAAACAGATTTTATTGAAAAGGTCGCGTGGAAGAGTTAAAAGATTTTAGGTTGATTGAGCCTGATGCAAGGGTGGGACGAATACGTGAGGTTGCTTGGGAGGGGAGTGAGGGGGAAGTGCTGCGTTCGAAGGGTAAGCATTGATGACCGGTGCATTCATTCTATAGGCCTGGATGGTTTGCAATGGTGAGGTTTTCGAACACTATTTTCTCATAGAAAAAATACAAAAACATGAATTAAGTCGTACAAACAAACTGTGTGGTGGCTTGATGGGTGGCCGAGTTTACTTCGAGAATCAATGCATGTCATAGCGGCACCAACATTCGATGTGGGGAAGCCTGCTTGCAATAATTTTCAGACAATTACAGTTAACGTGTTATTTTTGAAGTCACAAACATAGCGAACATCCAATTCGGTTAATTTTCAATAAAAGTAGTCCGTTCTAGAAAGCTTATTAATAGCTTTCAGGCACTCTTTTTCTGTTCTAAAGATGGTAGACGATGTAGGATTCAGGAGCGATCTTGTGGTTTCCTCGTCGATAAACTTTTTGCTTGAAGCAACAGTCCCAGCAGGGCGTTCACCTTCGACACTAATGGTGTGGAACGATGCGCTAGCCCTGGTCAAGAACATAGAAAGTGTGACTGAACAAAAAACTCACCTTGGAAAGCCGCGGAGTGCGGAGTGACGCCTTTCCGAAGTGGCCAGGGGGCGGGGCGGGTGGGGCGTCGGCCAACAATCAGTAAGCTCCTCATGCAGCCGTGTATCGCGCGATTGGCGGCTGCGAAGGCATTGTGACCGATTGAGACCACAGGGATATTTGAAATCGGATCTTAACGATGCACGGCAAAACGCGTATGGCAGCCAGGTCGACGCGATCTCACGGCTGGCAAGGGGGGCTCTCTGGCGACACGGCTTCGGACATTCCAACTCGCTGGGCAAGAAGCCGGGATAAGCAGCGCAGGTTGGCCCCTAACACCATTACTCGTGAGGGAGAAACCGTGGGACTGCCACGAGACTGCCCTTGAATAACTAATAGCCCTCTGTGACTGCTTAGAAGTGAGCTTTTTTTTTTTCGTTTCCCTGCTTAAAAGAATCGGAGATTCGCTAGGCGCTATCAAAATCATGATAGCAGAATCCGAAATTGGAAGGAAAGCACGATTTTTTTCTCTCAATTTGTTGCGTGATTATTGATTTTGAGTACATTCGGTCTCAAAAATTTACTTCTGATTCAAAATTTTCTTTGGAGCTTACGTTGCCGGGTTGATTTCTGACATGTTGGTACCGACAGTCCGAATGACTCGATGTCCGAAGGAGCCACAGTCCTACGCAAATAGCGAACACTCCATAGAGCAGGATGTAAATAGGCACCTGAATGTGAGGAAATGGGATTTTCTGGTAATGATTTTTGATTTCTCGTAAACCAGCTCCCTTACCTCTCCTTCTTGCAGAGCGTTCTTGTCTGTGTATATGGACACCAGAGCGGTCAGAAGGAGCAATTGCGTTGCTGAAAAGTTGGAAATAAAAGTCAACTTCGATGAAATTATAACTAACTGGCGTCTCTATCTAACGATAAGCGGTACAGAAGCGAGAGAGCGCAGTGGCACCATTCTCCAAGTTTTCGATTCGCGTTATTTATGAAACCGATCAAGCAGGCAAACCGTTCATGTTCTCGGGTCAGATAAATGGTTTAGGGTATTACTGCAATCAATGAGTATTGAGACCCATTGCTCATATGAGTGAAATTGTTCTCTGGTGTTTGCAGTGATTAAAAGCATTGTAAACATGTATTTGAAATGGGTTTCGAAAGTGTTGGAGTGCACGAATATATTGTAATATGGAGAATTTAAATTTATCTGAATATGTATATTAGCGACATTCGCGAGAGAAGGAGGCGTGAAGCGCGAATAATGTAGCAGCTCAACCATACCTTATTGGGGAAGCCTCCTACTTTTTGCTGCCCCATCTCTCTCTTTGTCCACTTCAGTTGTCTCGTCTTTTTCGGGACAAGCTAAATTAGAATCGTTCAAAGAAACAGAAACATGTGTTTAAGTACAGGTGAATATTTTGAATCACTCCCTCACTATTACTTCCTAAATGAAGTCTTGCTTGATCGAAAAGAAACGAAGCAACACATGTGTAATCAATTCTTATGGAATGGGCCACGTATTCACTTGAGTCGATACCTGCGAAAACGATGGAAGGCGTGAGATCCTCATTCCGTAAATCTTAGTGCTTGTCTGTCAAAACCTCATGCTGCTTGAACTGTGCTGAGGATTGCTTCTCTGAGGAGATAATGAGGAACTCCTGAACCACATCCACTATTCTGGAACTCACTGCTGGGTGTCCATTGCTCTTCATCTGTGAGCGCTAACAAAGGATTTTTCGTTGTACCAATGGATATTGAATTTTGTCACGCTATTGTAATGAAGCCTGTTTAAAAGTTTTTTAAACAGTAAATTTCGAGGCATGCCGCATTCAATACCTATGGATATGACCCCATCTAAATCTAATCACTTGATGTAATCAGTCGTACAATCAGTCAATAAGAGCGCTGTGATACTGGTTCCCATTCTATTGCCGTTCCCCTTCATATCAGATCTTACTGGTGAAATCAGTGTTCGACATCAAGAGCAAATTTCGTTCTTGGTTTTCCTTCACTCTTCGTTCTGATAATCGGCTTAACCGTTTATGTGCTACTTCTGACAGGTTTAACGTCACATGGTAGTTATGGATTCATGTTCGTGACAGAATTTACTCAACGTCCAGGTTGGGGCATGCACCTGACTCATCAGAAATCGCTGTGATAATTGAAAGCGCATCCTGGCAGGTCATGTTCGTTTTTCATGTCCCTTACTTGTACAACGTCACCAGCGGTTTCTGGGAGTTGAGAAGTGGGGAGAGAGAGAAAGAAAGAAAGGGTCATAAGAACGGGGACAGGAATGAGCTTCAGAAGCGCAGTCAAGTAGTAGGGCCCTCAACTGGACCATCGAATTCGCCACAGTTTTTTACAGTTATCTGATTCTATTATTCTTTTTTTTGAGGATGGTCTCAGGCCATCAGAAACGAGTGAATGGTTGAACGGTGTGCGCAGTGTTGGACCCGGCCCTTCAAATCACCCCATTATGCTGCCATCGTATACGCTCTGTCGTCTAGACAGAGGCCCGTGATTTCCAGCACCTGAACAACACAAACTTCCGCCACATAGTAGGTGGTCTACCTACCTCAAAGTTCTCACACCTTAAAGTCTTAGGCCAGCTTCATATAACTACCTCTTTGGCTTTCGAAACTAAGCTCAGACGTTGTTTTGTAATCGCCTGCGCTCTACCCTTTCGCGGCAGAAGCGGTCGCGCACGACGGCCAAAATTTCTGTTAGGTTAACCGTGTTTTGATGGAACATCAATGAACCCTTTATTTTGCCGCAGGGTGAGGTCCCCTTAAACACTTTCCCTAAAAAGGTTGAATGCTCACAGCAGCAAACATCAAATGAACTCTCAGAAAGCATATTCAGGTTATTCTAGAAGGCATTAAGAAAACTGGCCTCATCAGGAAGGCCTTTCAGGGAGTGACAAGTTTTTTGAAAACGGTCTTTTGCATGATATAGGGGCAGATGCGGGGACCACAGAACCATGTTTAATTTTTCCTGAACGGCCCTCTGAATACCAGAAAAGGGGGTCCCTAGTTCGATTCCTCTTGGTGACAAATTTTTGCATTTCGTGGGACTGTTGAGTGACGTCGCTAATTGGGATGTGCATGCAATTGTTATGCTGACATCGCATTTAGGCGCGAATTCTGAACCGTCCAACTCGAAATGAAATGATATTTTTCACTCACGAGGAATCAAACAATGACCCCCTTTTGCTACTCAGAGGGCGTAAACCGTTAAAAATTTAACCCGTGTTTCTGTGCTCCCGCTCTACGCCCCTGTACCATTCGAGAGAGTGTTTGAAAAAGCACTGGCATACACCGTGAAAGTCCATTCTTGATTGGTGCTACCATAATTGAATGGGACCGTCGACGGCGCGGCGTGCTCCTGCCCGTTTCAGAGAAACCCTGGTGCGCAGGTGTTATCAGGTGTTCTATGTGTGCAAAGTGGAATGTGCTAGTTTGCACTATTTCGCTGAGTGGGCAAACGCAGCAGGCGCTGCCGCGCCGCAATGCGTGCGCACTGTTCCCCTTCCTGCTCCCTCAATCGCGGTAGGCACACCTATCAGTAAACGATCACATCGATGTTCATACTTCCGCCCAGCTTTCGATTAGGCTACGTCAGTATTGCCAGCTCTGTAAGATCGCATAGAGTTAGTTTGAAAGGACTTCTTCATTCCGTTGGCGTCCATGAAAAATCTTTGACTAATGTTCGTTAGGATATAGTTAACCGCCGCCACAGTTTCGATCAGCTAGAAAATGGACCACAATCAATCTTTCAGCGAATTCTAGTTCCCCCTTATCGCCTCCTCACCTTGAGGTACCTTTAAATTCTTAATGCCAATGTTCCCTATCACGTTATTCAGCAAATAAAAGTTTGTAAATATTTGAAGAGCGTTTCTTCATGACTGGCCATTTTTGATTACCGCTTCTGACAAGATAAATTTGAACACAGCAGTAATTATCCCCTTGAGTCAATGTGTGCCCTGTTGCCTTTGATGCTGCACTACTTCGCGCCACACAAATTCCTTGCCAGCCACCAACGCCTCGTATTTGGCAGGTTGGTTCCACGTGGAGGTTGGCATACCCGTGTGCTGAAATTCCGACCTGTTCCATTTTACTGCACAGGTATTGGCACCATGACCAAGTGGTGTGGATACATGCTTGTTAGTCTACTTCAGGCTGTTATGCTGTTTGCAGAAAGGCACTGGAAATATTAATTAAATATTTTATCAACTTTAAGTGCAGACATTGGCATAGTAAGCTATGCGGAAAATCCCTCCCACTTGGCCTTATAATCCTTTAACTCTCTACTTGCAGCACGACTCTCGAGACATCCACGCTCCTAATCAGGCCACCAACGCATCCAGCTCATCCTAAAATTTGTTCGTTTGCCAGTTTTTCAACGTCTGATTGAATTGCTAGTCTGTAGGAGCTCCGCTCGGTAGATGTGGCGTTTTAAACTTCTTGAACGATCCTTCGTCTTGGGTTTTGCTAATTGCTCCCTCGCTGAGAAGTTTGATGAGATCGCGGAATGGCCCCGCCGCCTTCTAACATTTATAGAAGTAGTAAGCATGTGTGGTGAAGATGAGGACAATTTCCGATAAGCATTTCTGTTAATGGAAGAAAGAAGAATATTCTCATGAAAAAAAAAAGAAACTCAAACGCCAATCTTCTCGAGAAAAGAACGCGCGAAAAAAGCCGCAATAATTATGCATCAACCTAATAATATAATAAATAAATAACTGAATAAATAATCACTCAGTGCCTCTACCTTCTCAAAACAAATTCGCTTGCTTGGCGCATCCACAAAAATTTGGTTAATGATCATTCTTTTATCCTCTATCTTTTGAATAATGTCTTATGCATCTGTGTTTTCGCTCGTGGTCTTCGATGCTACTTTGTTTGATTGTGCATATAGTTTTTTCGAGGGGAGGAAGGGTCATCCTTCACTCGCTATCACTGATAATCGATACCGCTGTGCACTTCTTCTGTGGCTGTCAGCGATTGATTCCTTGGCTTTATTTACATTTAGCATATCGAAAAAATGTCGTAAATTGGCGACCTTAGGTGATTGAATATCGTTAATTTCCAAGAGTCTAAGAAACACCCTTCTTGATTATGCGCTTTCAAAGTTCATTTCCGTATCTTCTCGGTTGCTCAACAATAATGAGAGAGAATAGTGGTTTTATGACCACACTTCTACTCTCTCGAAGATGATCGTGATCGTTGTCGTGGTTTTCTCGTTACTCTCTATAAAAGTCCATGAACCGTAGCCCAAACCGGTTCTCTCTTTTGCCTTCACTGATGGCATTCACCGCCAATTGTGCCGCCTCCGTCGTATCCTCATCACTATTCAGCGTTGGCACTCCTGTAAAAAAGTTGGAATCGATGACGTTTGTTCCTCATTTTCCGCGTTCCTCTTGCACTTTTGTGTATAATAGCACTAGGAGTATCCCTTTTGGATCACAGTCAGATCTGAGCTGATGTTGGATTCCCCTTAAAGTGATAATAAATTAGTTTCTAGACGAGCTTTCTCCACTTGCTCATTTAATTTTTTGTAGTTATTTGGCGGATCAGGCGGAAGTGGGTTTTATGGCAAGTGATGCGCTCCACCCGACTCCGGTGATCGAATCCTGCGTTTCCTCATCCGGGGCAACGAAACCTTCCACTCTCCAGGTTAGGTTAATTGGTTACAAACTTGTCTGGGAGGACAAAAAGCATTGTAATGAAGATCGCCTGGCTTCACAAACCATTGTATGGGCCAAATCGCATTCAAATTGCCCTACCATTCTGAATGGGAATAGAATGCGTACCGCAATCCCAAAACAGAGTATTTGATTAAACAGAAAATGCTTCATCGCTTTGTTAAAGATCAACGCCATAATATTTGTCCTAATACAAGAGGTTTGCAGGGACGCAGAAGTGAGCGGAAGTGGTTGTCGTAGCAACGTGGCACGCTCACGCGAGCGGTCCGGGATCAAATCCTGGGTCGTGAGTCGCCCGGGCCAACCAAGCCTTCCATCCCTCCGGGGTCGGTTAATTGGTACCAGACTTGTCTGGGAGGATAAAAACACTGACTTGAACATCGGCTGGCCCCCGCAAGTCATTGTATAGGCCACATCGCATTCAAACGCCACTGCGAATGTACAAATGGAAGTAGAATGCGTGCCGCATCCCAAAAAGGGATTGATCAACGGCAAATGCTTTATCCTTTATCCTTTTTAAAAAGGGTATTCCTCAGACAGTA